AAGAATAAAATTTAAAAAAGAATGAAAGGAAGCAGTTTCAGATTGAATTAACCAAATAAAAACAATAAACCAAAGAAAAAGATTCAGACCCTAGCTGGTTTGGCTCGGTAGACAGAGCGCTGGCCCATGGACTGAAGGGTCCTGGGTTCAATTCTAGTCAAGGGCACGTACCTGGGTTGCAGGCTCGATCCCCAGCCCTGGTTGGGGTGCTTGTGGGAGGCAACCAATCGATGTTTCTCTCTCTCTGTTTCTACTCCTCCCTTCCACTGTCTCTAAAAATCAATGGAAAAATATCCTCAGGTGAGGATTAACAAAAAACCAAAAACAAAGAAAAAGATTCAAGTCAAAAACATGGATGAACTAATAACAAATCAAAATGCCCAGAATGAAAGTTCTTCTGATATAGTCACTTAATATCATTCTATCATGAGTGTGCTTGGGATTGAATCCAAGATATAAAACCAGCTCCCTTAATGTCTCAAATATATAAGCATTTTCAATTATACAATTCGCTTAAGAATAAGAGACTGAAAATATCTTAACAAAACAACTGACAAAGAGGGAGAAGACTGGAGCTAATTTCTCCCACATTATCAAGAAGTCTTATAACATCACTTGGTCTACTTACTTGGACATCATATGAGTCAAATTATGATCTCTAACTTTTAGAAATAAAAGCTTAAAATTACTTTTATCTTTTTAGTTTAAAGATTATTTCTCTTTCAGGAAAGTTGCAGGATACAAGATCATTATACAAAAATCAATTGTATTTCTATATACTTGCAATGAACTATCTGAAAACAAAATTAAGGGGGAAAATTTATTTATAATACCATCAAGAAATACTGAGAAATAAATTTTTAACAAAGAAAGTGTAAATTTTATACTCAGAAACTTACAAAACATTGCTGAAAGAAATTAAGATCTAAATGAATGGGAGGACACCTCATATTCATGGCTCTGAGGACTTAATGTTGTTGAGATAGCAGTATTCCCCAAACTGATGGGCAGATTTAATGCAATCACCATCAAAATGTTAGTTAGATTATTTGTAGAAATTAACAAGATGATTCTTGAATTCATACGAAAATGCAAGGGACCCAAAATATCTGAGATGATCCTGGAATAGAAGACAAAGTTGGAGGACTCACTCTTCCCAATTTCAAAACTTACTACAAAAGTAGAGTAATCAAAGATCGTGTGGTACCAGGATAAGGATAAATTATATAGATCAACAAAATAGAAATGACTTTTCAGAAATAAACCCTTATATTCACACTCAAATGATTTTTGACAAGAGTGTCAAGAGAATTCAATGGGTAAGAATAATCTTTTCAACAAATAGTGTTAGGATAACTGGATATCCACATGATAAAGAATAAAGTTAGACCCCTATCTAACACTACATACAAAAATTAACTCAAAGTGAATCATAGACCTAAATGTAAGAGACATAAAATTCTTACGGGAACATCAAAATCAAATGCCACAAAAGAAAAAATAAACTAGTCTTCATCAAAATTAAGACTTTTGTGGCTGCAAAGGAAACCATCCAGAAAGTAAAAAGACAACCCACAGAATGGGAAAAAAAACATTTGTAAATCATATAACTAAAAAGGAACCTGTATGTAGAATATATTAAGAACTCACATAACTCAATAATTGAAAGGCAAAAAACTCAATTACAAACTGGGCAGAGAATCTAATAGTTTTCCAAAGAAGAAATACACATGGCCAATAAGCACATGAAAAGATGCTCATCACTAACCATCAGGAAAATATAACAACGAGATACTACATCACACCTATTAAGATAGCTATAATTTAAAAACGCAGGTAATAGCAAGTGCTGGTGAGAATGCAGAGAACTGGAACCCTCATATACCGCTGGTGGGAATAAACAATAGTACAGCCACTTTGGAAACCAGAATGACAGTTCCTCAAAAAGTTAAGCATAAAGTGACATATGTCCTAGAAATTTCACTCCTGTGTATATACCCAAGATAAATGAAAACATATCTCAACAAAAAACTTGTACACAAATGTTCACAGCAGCATTATTCATAATAGCCAGGCAATGGAAACAATCCAAATGTCCATCAACTGATAAATGGATAAATAAAACGTGCTAAATGCATAAAATGTAATATTATCCAATTGTCAGGAATGAAGTAATGCTACATGCTATAAGATTGATAAACTTTTGAAAGCACGATGTTCAGTGAAATAAACCAGTCATAAAGGGTCATATTTTGCATGATTCCATTTATATGAAATGCCCAAAAAAGGCAAATCTATAGAGGCAGAAAGTAGACTAGTAGTTGTCTAAGGCTGGGGGTAGATGTGAGGGAAAAAGGCTATAATGGGTACAAGACTTTTCAGAGTAATGAAATGTTCTGAAATTGTTTGTGGCCATGTTTGTACCACCTTTTAAATATGCTATAAACACAGAATTGTACAGTTTAAATAGGTGAATTGTAGAGTATGTAAATTACAGCCAATCCTCCTATTCACATATTCCTTATTTATGAATTCACCTATTTGCTGAAACTTATTTGAAATTCCAAAATCAATACTCACGGTGTTTTTGTGGTCATTTGCAGACATGCACAGAGGTGAAAAATTTGAGTCACCAGATGTGCACATTACCAGCTGAGGTTGAACAAGTTTGATACTGTAAACAAGTATCCTTTTCAAGGTATAATTAGTGCCAAGTTTTTTGCTTTTTTGTGGGTGATTTTGCTGTTTAAAATGGCCCCCAAGCACAGTGCTACAGTAGTAGCTAGTATTCCTAAGCATAAAAAGGCTATGATGTGTTTTATGGAGAATATACATGTATCAGATAAGCTTCATTCAGGCATAGGCCACAGTGCTATTAGCCCCGAGTTCAATGTTAATGAACAATAGTATCAACAATATACTATATTAAATAAGGGGTCTTTAAACAACAATTCATATACAACAAGGTAATGTATTGATCAGCTAACAAAAATGTGATCAGATGCTCCCAGGAACCTAACCTATATCTTCCCTAGGAGCAATGGTTCAGAATTCACTAATTTGGTGTTTGAGGCAACTATATAGAACATAGCTACCGTGAATGACAAGACTAGACTGTATATCTTAATAAGGCTATGATTTTTAAAGTGATTCATTTGTTTGTTATAGGAAGTGAGAAATAGCAAAAGGCTTATAATGGTTCTCTCTGGAATTTTTGTGGAGTTTTTTCTTTCTGTTTGGATTTACTTTTACTACAATAAAAATGAAATTATTTTCTGCTTTCAAAAAAGTAAGAAAAACTAGACTTCCAGCACTGGTAAAGGAGTAAGCCCACGACAGATTTCTCTCTCTCTCTCTCTCTCTCTCTCTCTCTCTCTCTCTCTCTCTCTCTCTCTCTCTCTCTCTCTCTCTCTCTCTCTCTCTCTCAATTGTAAGAAAAATTGTCGTCAGTGGGATCTGGGGAGTGTAGAGGGTGGGTATCCTGAAGGGGAGCGAGCTAGAAAAGTGGATCCTTTAATTCCGTGTATGAACTGGCACACATCCCAGAGTCACCCTGAGCTGTGTGTGCACAGGGGTGGACCTAGAGGAGGACAACGAAGGCTTTGAGAACTGAACTAACACTGAAGTCACTGTTCACAGAAGGTGAGAAACTACTGAGAGTCTGAACCCAGCCAGGTGATACCTGCTGCAAACTAAAAGGATGCAACATTCTTTAGAGGATTTTGACAGAAACCAAAGTCTTATATAACATTCAAAACTGGACACGGAAGTAAAGGTAGCAAGAAAATCCAGAATATGGATCCAAAGAGAGACAACTCTTCCTCTGAGATAGTAAGAATAGGAAGAATAGCGAAAAGTAAATGGCTGAGGCAGTTTTGTGTGATGGCTTCAATTTTCTTTATGAAAGCCAGAGAGTACGGGGAACAGCAAGAACTTTAAGAAGTGTTTAAGGATTAGAATTATCAGTGTGGGCTACGGAAGGGGCAGGCAAGAAAAATGCTAAGCAGTACTGGGGACCCAGCTGGAACTGTAAATGCTAGTATGAATGTGGTTCAAATCTACATGAATAAAGTGTTTTCTTCCATGAGGCTCGATTATTTGGGAATCTAAAATGAAAAAGGACTGATCAGGGCTGAGGATTTTCAGGGCTGGATGGCAGAAGGACAAGAGGAGGCTGTGACTACAAAGCCACACCCTCCATTGGACAGTCAGGGTTAGGTACCCCTCTTCTGTGCTCAGATAATGCCCTACGCCTTCTCTACAACTAGCCACGTTGCATCATAACCATCTGCTTATGTCTCAGTCTCTCCTGTTTAGAAATTGAGTGCTGTGTCTTCTTCAGCATGCTATCTTTGATATTTAGGACCTAAATAATGGCTAGCACCTAACAGGTGCTCAATAAATGTTTGACTGACTGACTTATTCATTCAAAACATATTTAGCAAGAGACTACCAGGTACCAGTATTGTGCTAAAGGCTGCCCATACAGAAGCTTACAGCCCAGTGGAAAAGATGTAAATAAGTAAATAATAACAAAGTCTTTTTTGTACTGAGAAGAAAATAGAAAGCAGGGATTTAAAATAAAAACCAAAGAAGAGGAGAGACCTATTTTTGATAATTTGCTCAAGGTAGTCTTTTCTACGGAGGTGAAATTTTAGCTGAAACCAGAAGGATAAGAAAGGACCAGCTTTGTGAAGAAAAAAAAGAAGACTATGCAGGGAGAGGGGGGAAAATATGCAAAAGACCTGAGGTAGGAAAGAGCCCAGCATAGTTCAGCATATATGAATGATGATGCAGAATAAAACATGACAGCAAACCCTTAGGCCCGTGGCCGGCAAACTGCAGCTCGCGAGCCACATGTGGCTCTTTGGCCCCTTGAGTGTGGCTCTTCCTAAGCCTTAGGAGTACCCTAATTAAGTTAATAACAATGTACCTACCTATATAGTTTAAGTTTAAAAAATTTGGCTCTCAAAAGAAATTTCAATCGTTATACTGTTGATATTTGGCTCTGTTGACTAATGAGTTTGCTGACCACTGCCTTAGGCCAACCTTATGACCCAAACTAAAAATCCCAAAAGAGTGGCAGTTTAGTTTGGAAAACCTCAGCCCAAATCCTACTTTCTGCCTTTATGCCTCCTTTTCTTTTTGCTCTCCTAAAAGAGCCAAGAGGAAATTTCTCTTTATCTCTTTCATATATTGTAACAATGCTGGTTGCCTGAGGCTGTTTTTAAAATAACAAGATAAAACCACAAGATAGAAATTATCCAGACAGTGGTAAAATTCTAATAGACTTCAGTTAAGCCATGGAAAAATCTTAGTAGGGCCAGGGTATTTTAATATTTTCTTGAAAAACTATTGATCTTCACTCAAAACACCAAAACTTTGACAATATAACAAAACCCTAACAAGCTCCAGCCCAAACTCTGAATAGTTTATCTCTTGGTGACCCTGCCATATGCTCTAGCAGCTTATGAGGGAGATCTAGTCCTGGCCATTGGCTGGAAGATCCCCCTGACCCCTCCCTTTCAGAAACCACTCATTTCTTCTCTTCTCACACCATAAAAGAGAATAGCCACCAGAAATACACCTTTCACAAAGAACATACATATAACATGTAGTTTTCCCAATAGGCAACAAGTGCTCCTGACAATACTGTAGGTTTCAGTGAGAGTCCTAGAGTAATCTTAGGTCAGGATAGGTTTTACACTTTATGACATAAAACAAGAATCTGCTTTGTGCTCAGCCTTACCACCCGCAGCGCAGTAAGTGCCTGTACTCCTGTTTACAGTCTACTGCTCATACCTGCCTTCTGTTGGAAGCCTCTCTCCGGTGCTTGGCTGGAAGATACTGATGGCCATCCAGAAGCAAATCTCGCCATCTTTCAGCTGTCCCGACAGATGGCTGCTGCCTGGAGTATAAGCTCTAAAAAGATACAAAAGCACCCACCAAATGTATGAGCAGTGGCAGAATGGTAGTGAAAATACTATAGGCTGTAATGATAGCCCTGAGGTCATCTAAATAGGTCAGAAGAATATGATACAGTATGGTATAAAAGTAGACATACTTCTGGCCACTATTTGGACCTTAACAGTGTCCACAAAGCAATCAAAAGTTTCTTCATCTATAAAACAAGGATAATAATAAAATCTATCTCCCAGAGTTATTGAGAATTAAATGAGACAATAGACATAAGGTTCTAGATCAATTTTAGCTTAAGAATGTAAGCTGTCAGTCATAATAATATTAATATTACTAATATTATTAAGAGACAACACTATCACCATCAACATCACTGTTGTTAGTAGCATAGCCCAGATCCAACTCTAATTTACTTTCTGCTGCTTACTCTTTACTCTGCTCTGCCTGCTCTCTGGCAGAGCCTGAATCCTGGATTTAATGTACGACATATCATGGCACTCCAGAAATAACTCCCTTCTCCATATCTCAACTGTCATATTACGTGAGGCCTGCTCACAGTTCCTGTGCTAAAAGACCTCATAAACACTGAACATTTTCCAAGCAGGAGCATCATGCCAGGGCAACAGTAACTGCTTCAGTGAAGAGGCCTGAAGTCGTTTCAATAGATCAGAATGGTGTGATACATCACAAAACAAGAAGATATTATATCTTTGTCCATTATTGCTGACCTTAAAACTAAACCCCTGGAGCAGTTACCACATTGCCCTGTCAATCTTGAGACAAAACCTAAGCAATTTACTCTCTGCTACTTACTCCTTACTAGAGCATTCTCTACTTATTCTCTGGAGAGCCTAGGTCTTGAATTCTGGGTGAAACAAGCCAATGGCACTCCAGAAGCAATTCCTGTTTCAAACTCTCATTTCTCAAAAAAAAAAAAAAAAAAAAGGGGGGGGTGTTGCTTGGTATAGTAGTTTTAAAGGAATAACAAAATACAAAACTAATTGTATAAGCAAAATTGATGGGTTAGTGACAATAATGTAGACTTCAGTGACAATCCCAGAATAATGATACCAGGTTAGGATAATTTAACAGGGGTGTGTGTGTGTGTTTAATATAAAATTTCCAGACACACATCAAAATAGGGAAAAAACAGAGTATAATGAATCCCAAGATACCCTTCACCCAGCTTCAATAATTGGCAACATTTTATTTTTTCATCTATCTCTTCTCCCACTTTTTTTCTGGAGTATTTTAAAGCAAAACCCAGATTGTTCTGGCACTTTTTCTTTCTGCAATAGCATAGTTAAAAGAAGATAAAGCAACAAGGCAATCTACACTAATAAAAGAGAAACATGGTAATTAGCGTACGACCGCTACTCTTCCCATTGGCTAATCAGCATATCCTTATGCAAATTAACTGCCAGCCAAGATGGCGGCCGGCAGCCATGCACTGAAGCAAACAGGGAGGCTTGCTTGCTCCAGTGACTGCGGACTCCAACGTTCCCCGCCTAACTTGCCGGCCTCTCAGCTGCAACTCTAAGCAACTATGTTGCAAATATAGAAGCTAAACAAAACCCCAGAAACCGGCTTTCAGTCAGCCAGGCTTCAGCCAGCCTGACCGCAACATTGTATCAATGTTTTCAGCAGCGAGGCCTCAGAGCTAAAGCTGGCCCAGAA